TTAACTGATAAAAAAGAATCTTATAAGAAATTATTCTTAAGATCAGGATAAACAGTTTCCTTGTTTTATTGGTGGCTGATTTAGGTTTTTCTAGTGACTTAAATAAAGACTTGTAACTTGATGAAAGAGACTGACTTTGGTATGTAATAACATGGAACTTCCATTGCTGTTATTAAAGCTGGAGTTAGGTATTATAGAAGCAGTCTATTCTGCATACAGGAAATAAGGGAGTCTATTATTTATAAAGAATTTAAACTATAAGGAAACCAGTTAAAGCTGGTGTGGTTATTATCACCACCCTGTATCAGCAGTTCTAAACAATATCATTGATAAAATGTTCCTCCCTTCTGGAGGTGGATAGTTCCCACAACCACCCCCACCCTACCTCCTTCATCATTGCTCTAAATTTATCTTTGTGAAAATAAGATTTTTTCTGGTCAATATGGAGGTTCTGACACATCTTAGTGCAGCATTTTTTTTTTACTATTTTCCACAGTAAAACCACATTTTACTTCACAGAACTATACACACATAGATATACATATGTTTGCAAAAAAATAAAATATTATTTACAGATAATGGCATTAATATTGAAAAATCTTTCGCCAACCAAATGGGAATTACCAAGAAACATTTCCAGAATTAGTTTCTCTGGGGCCTTCTGAACTAGATTTCATAATTTCAATTTCCAAAATTGAAATTAGTTAGGCTAATTAGTTAGGAGCAAAAACAGAAATGAAAATGCTGATTTATTTTATTTGGCCTTTTTTAGGAGCAGCATAGAAAACAGAGATAATAAGCAGGAAGGCCAAATCCTAGGATGGGGGGTGGGTATTACCCAAAGGCTCTCCATCTTTACCCTTTGAAGTTCCTGTATCAAGTTGGGCCCTGTCCTGGGCTTCATTTCAATTTCTCCTCCACCCCTAAACCCTATCCATAATATACTTTTTACTCTCATTGAATTCTGGCCAATTTCCTATTTGATTTCCAATTCACATGAAACTGATGTTCATTACTATCTATCCTTTTCTAAACCATGTGTTTTGTTTCATTCATCTCCAGTGAGTGTGCTAATTCCTTGGTTATCTCTCTCATTATCTATGCATAATCCAAGTACCTGTCACTGGAGAGGTTACTTTATGCCTGTAATTCATGAATGATACCAGTCATGATGCAATTTTGCTGGTTGGGATTTCTTTATGAAAACTATAGTTAGATGCCCAACTAACAGCAAGATGAGAAAGCTATGTTTAGTGACACATCTCAAATATTATATAAATTATTTTCTTTTATCTGCTCTTTGCTTGAGGATAAAGACCAGTAGTAAACAGGGTCTTAATTAGTATTATATAATTTCCACAAATTTATTATAAATAATTAAAATTTATCAAATATCTTCAGGTAAAGATTTAAAAGAGGATTATTTATTCCTAGTTCTATATAAATAGTCAAGACAGCTATTTTACATCAAGGAGACAATAACTCCAAACCTATGTCCATAAGAATTACAGGCATTGATTACTGATATATATACTTTTTTTTCCCTAGCTAGTGTTAATATAGGCTATTATTTCTCCTGAATTGTGTTTTTTTCCTCATTATTACAATGAGAAATGTAAATATCTACAGTTTTCTACATGTCCATGATACTATGATATGACAAGAAATCATAAAAGGACATTTAACTACTAATAAAGGGTAGGTTAAAATATTATTTGCAGGTGATGAGATTTTCATAGAACATATAAACTACTTAAGAGAAAAACTACTAAGAAAAAATATTTCAGAGGGTTGGGGATGTGGCTCAAGTGGTAGCGTGCCCACCTGGCATGCGCGAAGCACTGGGTTCGATCCTCAACACCACATAAAAATAAAATAAAGATATTGTGTCCACCTAAAACTAAAAACTAAATATAAAAAAAAATTTCAGAGACTTAATACAAAAATATAAATATATCAAATTTAATAACTTTATCATTATTAGCTAGCTGTAAGTAATAAAATAACTTCATTTATAAGAGAACAAAGAATGATACAATATAACTAGTAATAGCCTTAAGAAATGTGCTGGATCCATGTAGGGAAAAAAATACATGCATTTTAAAGGGAAAATAAAGTACTTGGAAAAATATTACAAAAAGGACACATTTATATAATATTCAATTTCTTTGTGCAATCACTCATTATAGGCACTTATTTAATCTAATCTGTAGATGGACACAATACCTTTATTTTATTTGTTTATTGTATTTGGTGCCAGGAATTGAACCCAGTGTCTCATGCATGCTAGGAAAGTGCTCTACCCCTGAGCCACAACCCCGGCCCCTCTAATCTATTTTTAATGCAAACTTCATACTAGATTTTAAGATGAAGAAGATGATGAGTAGTAAAAAAGAGAAGAAAATGGGTAGGAAACAATTTTTAAAGAAGGTAAAAAAACATAAAATATTCTGGAGATTACAATACTCAAAAAGTTTCTTTAGGTATAAACTTCAGAATGTTTTCAGATCATAGCTCTTCAAATATTATTTCCTGTAACTCCCAGAGACACCAACTTAAGTAGCAATGTTCTCCAAATAATCACAGTAAAATATATTTTTTTTCAAAAAAATAAGTGTCATAGCAACAACTAAGGCAAGTCTGACTCTCAGCACAGAATTTGCCAAACTCTAATGCCTCAAAACATTAATTTAATAAAATTAACCCCTACTAGTGGACTGGCTGAAAGAGTAATGAAAGTTTCAGAGAATACTGATTTGGGTCTATGGAATTGCTACAAAGTAGTGATTCAATATTTCTTACTCAGTATCAAAGATTATGCATACCAAACAGAGGAGAACTATAGACAATAAGTAACACTAAAGATTTTTTTAAAAAGCATTTAATTAAGAAACCTGATACCAATTTCTGAAATTAGTCACCGACTACCTCATATATTTCTGCCTTTTTCTGGATCTGATTTAATTTCTGCCAAAAGCAAGTTTAAACTTCATTATTTCTGTTATCTTTTTCTGTTCTAAAATAATTATACTTTTTTGAATCTAATAACCTAATCTAGGAAAAACCTAGGACTATTTTTATGAGAATGAAAAAAAGTTCTGATCATCAAGAAGTATATATTGCTAGAGATCCTCAGTATGATTGTGGAAATGACTAAAATGTTAAATGCCTAGGGACAGGAAATAAACATTAATTAAAACAAAAAAAATACCACATAGAACACAAGCATTACACTTTTTTTAAAGCATTTGATCTGTCTAGTCATTAGATGCATCATCATTATGATAAATACAGATGAATTGAGTCACTGAATGAAAAAATAACAGTAACTTTTTTGTGGGCTTATCTGTTTTTGTAACCTGGCTTTAAGTCTAATAAATGAACACCCTATAATTGCGTAATTCTGTTATGACCAGAGTAAAGAATTAATGTAGGTTTGCCCATCCATTTTGATATTAAGATCCCTTCATATTCCTAAAAATTATTAAGGACTCCAAAGAGTTAGAGTTTATATGAGCTATCAATACTTATTTTGTTAAAAATTTCAACAAGGAATTTTAAAGTATTGATTAATTTATTTGAAATAATAATGAAGAATTACATATATCATATTTATATGGAAATTATATTTTATCCCCCCTAAATTATGAATTCCATTTTCTGTCTATTCCCCTTTGAATTCAATGTATAGCAATGTTTTGTCTTATATGAAGCATTTTAAGAAAATCCTGATTCACACAGATATGTAATTAGAAGAAATATTCTAATAGGTTTTTTAAATAATTGTGGATATGCTCTGATTGTACCCTAAAACTAGGAAAAGATTGATTTCTTAAAGGTTACTTGTAATACAGAATCTGAAGTACTATAAATGAATGTTTTTCCCTCTGTTATGTTAAAACTCATCGATCTCAATCACAATGAGTGGATCTTCTATATTGTTTTGTAATATCATGCACTAGCTATTGATAAAGTACTGATTCATTTCATTTACAATCATGCAGTTCTCCCAAGAGTTGAGACATTTCATTATGTAATGATAAAAATAGCATTCCTTAATATCAACATCAATTTCATTATTAAAAAATCTTTTAAGTATTGGGAAACACTCAAATTCACAAGAAAGTACATAAGCCTATTAAAAATTTCAAGTTTCATATAAGAGTTTGGATTTTATCACTAAAGACAAATTATTAATTTGTTTCTTGAAGCGATACTCTCATGTCACTCATTTTTAACAAACTATCTGCCAAAACCCAAAGTCTAAATAATCATGGTGTGTCAGTAGTTATTTCAAGTAAAAATGGTGTTACAAATTAAATAATGAGATATTTAAGCTCTTAACTGACCAAAAACTTCCCTAAAGACAGTCACTGTTCTTCAGTATGTAGGTTTGTACATGCTTTTCAATTTGTCATCCAACCAACTGAATAAAATCTGTACAAAATTATCAAGGTTTAATAAATTATTAATTTTCACTGCTTCACCAAGAATAGTCCTAAGTGAAATTGGACTTCAAATTTAATGATACCTGGCAATTTGTTGACACTGTCTTGATTCACCCTACAATATCAGTAGTTTTACTCCTCATTGGTTTTCTCTGTCAGTACAAATGTTAACAGAGTGAAAATCTCAAATGATACTTGAATATTATTATGAAATGGTGTTAAGTTCAACAATCCATAAGAATCTCAGAGATCCATAGGTCACTGTGGTACAAACTTTGAGAAGCACTGATTTAAACTTTTCATACTCAAAACAAATGCCATTATAAACTTCTGAAAATATTTCTAAATTGACAATAATAACATTTCTTAACAATAAATGACAATGTGTAATTATTCATTTAAGGTTTGAGCAGCAAGAATGAATTTTGAATGTGTGAGAGTTTAAATATAAGTATCAGAAATATTTTTTTAAACCCACGAGAAGAAACTTAACAGAGCAGAGGGAAGGAATACAAACAGATTTTTAAATAATGTATTAATTGTTTTCCATACCTTGCAGTTTATAATCTTGAAATAGTTCCAACATCAGATAGAATTTGCTTTTTTTTTAAGCTGGTAGCAGTTGAAAACTGTCCTGGAATGAAAAGTCTAGAATCTTACCCCTGAGATCCAAAATAGAAGAATGACATGTAGTCACCCTCCTTCTTCCAGGACTTAATCCTTTAAGCCTGACTCAGCCATGGGCTACAGATTCAAAAGTGTTCTTATCTAACTGAAGCAAGTCACATGCCGTCTTTGCTTAGCCAATCATAGAGCCATGCTAAAAACAACAACCACTCAATTAAGACATAATCTAATGATCTGTCATTATCTGTGGCTCTCTTCCAGAGAGATCTGAGGACAGCATATATTCCATCAGGTCTTACTGCTTCCAAAATGTAGAAAGAAATATTATTGTGTTCATTTTATACAAGGGTCCAAAAATTTGATCAAAATCTCATAGAATCTCAAAGGCAAAAAAAATATCAAAGACCTTAGATATGGGATCTTTTTATAAAAAAAATTGTTTTTAGTTGTAGATGGACACAATACCTTTTATTTTTATGTGGTGCCAGGAATCGAACCCAGTGCCTTACAAATGCTAGGCAAGCACTCTACCACTGAGCCACAACCTTGGCCCTGTGGATATGGGATCTTTATTTCAAGAAATATCTTTTTGTTTCTCATCTGTATGCTTTTGTGCTCCTAACGAAAATGAATGAGAAGTAATCTCTACAATAATAATTTTTGGTGTTTTTGCTAGTACATAAAATGACTTTGCAGTAATTAAATGTCTGCTGATGAAACATGCCCTCATAAAACTAACATTTATTCAGTTCCTACTATTGCAAAATGTGCTTTTAGTCACTTAAATAGTTTGAATGTGTCCTCTAACGTTCATGTGTTGAAAACAACTGTTAATACGGCAGCCTCTAGAGGTACTTAGGTAATAAAGGCACTGTGCTCATGAATAGATTAATGTCGCTATAATGGAAATAGCATTGTCATCCTGAGAGTGGGCTTGTTATAAAAGTGAGTTCTACCTTTTCTTTTCACCTCTCTCTCTCTTTCTCTTTGGTGCCTTCCACCATGAGATGATGCAAGATGTCCCTTACCAGATGCCAGCAAGGGACTTCCTTGATATTAGACTCTCCATTCTCCACAACTGTGAGCCAATTGAGTTTCTTTATTTTTTTTAATAATTACCCAGTAAGCTTTATTTTATTATAAAGACACAAGCTGCACTAAGACAATAAGAGTTGAAGGATCGAGTGATATTAGTATTACATAAATTTTCACAATACTGTTAGTGTTTGATTTGAGCTCTAGTTCAAAAGGTTATTGAGCAACCATCTCAAGAAAATAATTAGAGCTACATTTTGACTGTAAATTATTGCTAATTAACAAAGACGGTATGTTTAAACAACCACATACTATGCTATTAGCGTAACTTTGGCAGTAGTAGATCGTATCTAATACTTGAAAGGTGAAACAACTAAGAGTTATAAGCCTCCTTAACAACTGCTTATTACAGTGTAACTTTTTGCTGAATCCTCTACTGCTTTCCAGCCACTAAGTCTTTCAAATTCTCAGGCTCAGCTTTCACATATCTTTTCTATCACATTTACTCTTATCCACAAAAAGATTGCTAGAATTAATAAATTTGGCAAAGTAGTGGGTTACAAAATCAACATAAAAAATCAATAGCTTTCCTGTGTACCAACAATGAGTCTGCTGAGAAAGAAATCAGGAAAGCAATTGTATTCACAATAGCTTCAAACAAACAAACAAACAAAATCTCTAGCAATAAATCTAACCAAGGAAGTGAAAGACCTCTACAATGAAAAATATAGAACATTAAAGAAAGGAATTGAAAGTGAAGACACAAGATGACGGAAAGACTTCCCATGATGATGGGTAGGCAGAATTATAATTATTAAAAAGGCTCTACTACCAAAAGCAGATTCAATACAATACTGATTCAATGCAATCCCCATGAAAATACTAATGACATTCTTCATGGAACTAGAAAAAAGCAGTCCTAAAATTCATTCGGAAGAATAAAAGACCCAGAATAGCTAAAGCAATCTAGGCCAAAAAAGCAATGCTGAAGGCCTCACAATATCTGACTTCAAATTATATTACAGAGCTATAGTAACAAAGATTGCATGGTTCTGGTATAAAAAAAGACACATAGACCAATGGTGCAGAATAGAAGACACATATCCCCAGTCAACTGATCCTTGACAAAGTTGCCAAAAACCTAAGACATCCTTCTTAACAAATGGTGCTAGGAAAACTGTATAGCCATATGTAGAAGAATGAAACTAGATCCTTCTCTCTCACCCTACACAAAAATCAACTCAAAATTAATGAAAGACCTAGAAATTAGAACCAATACTAGTCAACTCCTAGAAGAAAACGTAGGGTCAACACTCCACATATCGGCACAGGCAACGACTTTCTCAATAGGACCCCTAAAGCTCAGGAAATAATGTCAAGGGTTCATAAATGGGAAGGAATCAAATTAAAATCTTCTTCGCAGAAAAGCTAAGTATTAGGAATATGAGGACAGAACCTACAGAATGGGATAAAGTCTTTGAGAGTACTCTCTGACAGAGAAGTAATATCTAGAACATATGAAGATCTCAAAAAACTTTACCCCCCCCCCCAAAATCAAATAACCCATTTAATAAATTGGCAAATGAATTAAACAGATACTTCCCAAAAGAAGAAATACAAGTGGCCAAGGAATATATGGAAAAATGTTCAACATCACTAGCAATTAGGGAAATGCAAATCAAAACTACACTGAGGTTTCATCTCATGCCAGTCAGAATGGCAATCATCAAGAATACAAATAATCATAAATGTTGAAAAGAATTCGGAGAAAAAAGAACACTTTTACACTTTTGGTGGGATTGTAAGTTGGTACAAACACCATGGGAATCTGTGTGGTGGTTCCTCAAAAGAATGTGAATGGAACCACCATATGATCCAGCTATATTACTCCTGGATATTTATCCTAAAGAATTAAAGTCATCATAGTACAGTGATACATACATACCCATGTTTATAGCAGCACAGTTCACAATAGCCAAACTATGGAGTCTAGGTGTCTACCAGTGGATGAATGGATAAAGAAAACATGGTATATATTCACAACGGAGCTTTGTGAATATAAAGCCATAAATAAAAATAAAATTATGTCATTTTCAGGAAAATGGATGGAACCAGAGACCATTATGTTAAGTGAAATAAGTCAAACTCAGAAGGTTAAAGGTCATATGTTTTCGTTCATATGTGGAAGCTAGAGAGGAAAAAGGAAAATAAAGGTGGGGAAAGATCTCATAAAAATGTGGGGGAAAAAACCTCTTATTAATAAAAAGGAAAATTCTAGAGTATCTACCTTCAAAATGTATTTTCAAATCTGACTGCTTCTCACCATCTTTGCCCAATATAATCTAAAGCCCTAGACATTTGGGGGCAATTGCTATGAAAGTTGGGTTTTGGCCTCCTGGAGTAGTTGTTGCAGATATTGGATGGGCTCTCTGAGCTAGTTGCTGCAGGTGATGGGTCAGAGTTCCATTTTCTAAATGACCTATTTTTGTATACTTTCTACTTGTATACACTTGCTAGATAAATATTTAATAAGCTATGTACAATTGATGACATACACTTTTTAAATATTTTGCTTTTATAATAATACTTTAAAAGTGTCTCATTAAATATTTTTGTTGTCTTTAAAATCTTGAGTTAAAAAACACCTCCAAGTATTACTATGAATAAATATCTAGCTATGATATAAGGAGGCTGATTCATAATGGGGTAGGGAGAGGGAGCATGGGAGGAATAGACAAACCCCAGATAGGGCAGAGTGTTGGGAAAGGAAGAGAGAGAGCATAGGGTTAGAAATTATGGTGGAATGTGATGGACATTATTATCCAAAGTACACGTATGAAGACAAGAATTTGTATGAATATACTTTCTATACAACCAGAGATATAAAAAATTGTGCTCTATATGTGTAATAAGAATTGTTATGCATTCCACTTTCATATATAAATTAAAAAAATAATTAAAAATAAATATCTAGAACGAATACATTAATTTAATAGCAATAGTTAATATTCTGGGTCCAAGAATTTTTATTTAAAATGGCAAGGATATTAAGCTAAAATACCCATAAAGAAACCAATAATATGAAAAACATATTTCGTTGGCATTATATAAGGAAATAGTGGAGATGAAACAATGTTTGAAGAGATTTCTAAGAAATAAAGGTGTAAATTTGCAGATCAGAGGACACAAAGAATTTTAAGTAGAACAAAATGTCTTAAGCCCTTGTCCATAAAATATTTCAGGAGACTTTAGGAATACTGATGACTAAGAAAAAAACATTAGAAAGTAAAACAGCTTACTATTAGAAACAGCATGGAAAAGAAAGAAATTGCAACAGGGGTCCACTTCATGCTTTGAACATAACCCTTGCTACTCAGTCACTGCAGCTTATTTTAAGACTGACATGCCCTCCCTCTTTCTCTTCTCCCTCTCCCCTTCCCTAACATTTCTCCCATCCTCAGGCTTTGTCGTCTGTCAATGACCACGCACAGCACAGGAGTGAAGTAATTCAGACTTTGGGATGGTGGCAGAAGACCTAAGAAATAGCTATCCTCAAGTTCACAAGTGAATTATGACCTCTGAAAAGGCACAGCTGTGATCAAGCCTTTGAATTATTGCTTTAAAGCTCTCCATACCCCTTGATCAGAATCCAACTCTGGGTTAGGAGTTTCCTTTGCTTCTCCTTTATAGCAAAACAATAATGCTTCATCTTCCCTTTTCTCAAAAGTTTACTCTCATTACTGTATGGGCACTGGGGACAAGGACCAAGCTTTTTTTTTTTTTTTAATTATATATTCTTTTTTATTATTAGTTGTTCAAAACATTACAAAGCTCTTGACATATCATATTTCATACATTTGATTCAAGCAGATTATGAACTCCCATTTTTTACCCGGTATACATACTAGAGATTCACATCGGTTCCACATCCACTTTTTTACATAGTGCCATACTAGTGTCTGTTGTATTCTGCTGCCCTTCCTATCCTCTACTATCCCCCCCCCCCCCCCCTCCCCTCTCCCCTCCCCTCTCCTCCCCTCCCCTCCCCT